CCTTGCTGGGACAAATGGCTGCTGCATTTACCTACAAAAAACAGTCAATACACTTGACAATGTCAATGCTAATGAAACACAATTTGGTTTACTACAAAATAACTGCTTTTGAGAGTTGCACAAAGGTGATACATTATTGACAGACATTGACATTGAATTGAATGCCTACTTAAAAACCTTTTTACCATAGATCTCTCCATTGAGGTTACTTGCACTAGCATATGTACAATGAGTCAAACAGCCTCCTTCTATGCTGTAAACATACTATGGTTCTAAGAGCAAAAAGCATAAACAGTGTGGAATTGTTTACAGTGTTACTGTAATGAGAATTGAAGTAATTTGAGTAACAAAATGGTTCAATTGATGATTAGGCAGGCAGCAACTGCAATAACAAAAAGTTAAATAATAATAATGCTTACATTTGATATAGCGCCTTATCATGTCTTCTAGACATCTCAAAGCGCTTTATTGAATATACTGTAAAGTGAATTGACTGTATATTTGTGGGCGAAACGCGGCAGCCAATTGCGCACAATAATTTGTGTTTATAAAGAGTTCCTTCATGCGACGTAACATCTCAGAGCCCTTAACAGTGGCAGAGCTTGATGCTGAGCCAGAGAGAGGAGGAAGGATTGGAGCCACGCAGAAAAAAAAAGGAAGATCTTCAGGTGTAATCTGAATGCAATGAGAAGGCAAGGCGGAGGGATTGAGGAAGACAGCTCCATAGTTTGGGGCATAGTGGCTGAAAGCACAGCTGCTGGTGTTGGAGAGGACAAGGGATGTGCAGGAGGCTGGAGCCAGCTGAGCGAAGGGGACAGGTAGAGGAACGGGCGTAAGCAGTTCGGAGAGGTAGGGAGGTGCCAGGACTTGAAGTGATTTGTTCATGAGTATGAGTTTTGTATTAATTGGATTTTATGAATGGTGGAGCTAGGAAGACTGGTGAGGAGGGCATTGGAATAATAGAGGAGGAAAGTGACAAAGTGATAAGGGTTTCAGTTGCACTGAGTGTGAGGTATAATTGGAGGCGGGCAATGTTGTGGTAAGCGAAGAATGCGGTCCTGTTCAGAGACCATATGTAGGTATGCAGAGACAGCTGGGGATTGAATCCTATGATGCCTATGTTACACACAGGTTTAGTGAGTCTGAGGGACAAGTAGGGGGGATTCAGGAGGTCAGAGCCGCAAGTGAGGAGGTGTTGAATGGAGCCAAGAAGGATGGCTTCCGTCTTATCATCATTCATTGCAGAAAGTTGGTGCACATATATGCCCTGATGTCTTGACAGCTGGAGGAGGAGAAGTAGATTTAGGTGTTGTCCTTATATGTTGACCCCATGTCTGTGGATGACATCACCAAGAGGCAGCATGCAAATGAGAAAAAGAAGTGGGCCAAGGATGGAGCCTTGGGGTATACCCCACAGGTAACAGGGCATGGGAGGTTTAAAAAAAACATTTGCAGAGCCTTAGTGATTGCAGTGGGTCAAGTACGACTCAAACTAGGCGAATGCAGTCCCACTGAGGTCCCTGAGGGTGGAGAAGCGGTGGAGGAAGATCCTATGATCGACTGTCGAAGGCAGTGAAGAGGTTCAGGAGGACAGCTTCGCAGAAGGAGCCCTGGTCACATAGAGAGAGGACATTTGATGAGTGCTGTCTCTGTGTTGTGGGCAGAGCAGAAACCGGACTGGACGGACTCGAGGAGGGAGTGCAGGGAGAGGTGTGAGCAAAGTTGATTTGCAACGAAGTCCAGGACTTCAGAAATGAAGGGCAAGTTTTGAAATGGGCCATTAGTTTGCAAAATTAGAAGGATCAAGGATTTTTTTNGTGTGGCGGGGAATGATTACAGTGGTTTTGAGGGGGAGTGGGATGAAACCTGAGGAGAGGGCCTGGTTGAGTGTGTCTCCCAGCAGGAGCCCAAGGAGAGGGAGTATTGACCCTAGTAAGGTTTTAAACCAAACACTGGAGTTAAAATGCTGCTCCTCCTGAAAGTGTAGCTCCTGTGAGATGGTACAAGTACCTCATGACATAAATTGCTTGTAGGTGGAGGGGTTTGACCCTTGCATGTGACTCTTAATCAGCCTGAGTTTAATCACCAGCGGCTAAATCTCATGAGTTGGTGTAAAGTACAGGAATTCCCTGCTGAAAATAGAGTATACATTACAAGCGGCTTTTACTGGCAGAAAGGTACCAGTAACACTTAACACTCTTAAGAGGAGTGATTTTCAATCTCAGTGTTTATTTTATCTCCCTTTTCCAACTGGAACAAATCCTAACCAGCGTACCATTGAGCAATGTTTGAGGAGAAACATGCTGACCTGCCAAGTTTAGCACTGGTTTCCTCGAGTTAGTACTGCACCATTCAACGCATCCTTTAACATTTTCACAAAGAAAGGATCTTGTAATCTGCGCATTGTTTAGAAACAATTAAAAATAAAACTCTTTATACCATTAAGAGTCAGCGGTGTGTTTGTAATGTCATTCGAGTCAGATGGCTTGTTAATCCTTTTGAGGAATGGTGAAAGCACTTTTCTAATCAAAAATTTAAATCTCATCATGGTTACAAGCCTTATAACCCAGAAATGGTCTATTAATGCACAAATTACGCTTTATATTATGTGGCATTGGTACAATAGATCAATGGCCTCATTCTGTGCTGAAAATGCCTGCTTCCTACAATTGCATCACACATTTGCAGAAGAGTTTGGTCCCCTGTGACAGAAAATGTACACATTCTGAAAGCTTAAAGGATTCAGTTGAACATAGCAACATTTCATTTTGGGAAGAAGGTGAGGGAATCATCATCGATGTGGGTGATGAATGGTAGTGAGGAATCCACAAATTGAAGATTAACTCTTAGTGGGAGGGAAATTCAGCAGAGAGACTACTTTTGTGACTGGTATGAGTATTATTCTCGGTCGTCTGGATTTGGGTCATGTGCGTGCCAAGCCTGGCCCCAGTCTCTGAGGTTCTGAAGCTCATGTGAGGTTTGGCATTGTCATGGTGTAGAAGCACTTATGCCATGTCAGTGTTTGGACAGGTTTTCCTTATACAGGCTTATAACTTCTTCAAGGTCTTAATATAGCTCTTTGAGTTTGTGGTTTATGAACGCACTGAGCACAAACTTTAAAGTAACTAAGGTTACCAATAATCAGCTCTCTGTTATGATGACTAATACTGAGATTCACACTCAAATTACGCTGCGATAATTATCTTGAAGTTCACTTTTCACACAAATTTACCCAGCATTTTACAGTACTCACATCAATACCTAAATCTACGTACACTTTCATTATGCGATGGTGAATCTCAATTGGCAAAATTCCCTCAGTTATGAGAAACTAAATTTATTTACTCTCTCTGCTTAACACTTGTATAATGCTAGCTACCATTTGAACTGCTGTCACATGCCTCCATCTAGTGAGAAGTAAACAAAACTTTCACAGAAATGGGGGGATAAATAAAAGTATCTTGTGTATGCCTTTAATAACTACCATTCTTCCCAAAACAAATATGCATTGTGCGCAATTGGCTGCCGCATTTCGCCCACAAAATATACAGTTAATTCACTTTACAGAATATTCTGTGAAGTGCTTTGAGATGTCTCGAAGACGTGATAAGGCACTATATCATATGCAAGGATTATTATTATTCCTAGTACATACACACTGGAAATTTCACTACTATTGGCAGCAAGGCAACATTTTTTNGCTCCACAGAGTGTAATATTTCAGGTTTTGACGATCCAGGTTAAAGGAAATCTTTGTGTTTTATGAAAACTATTGTTTCCACTTTTAAATAGAAACTTATTTGATTAGCTTCTGACGCCCTGTTCAAATGAAAACCTGAAGGAAAGAGGAGCACGAGAAACCTCATAACCCTGTATATTATAGCAAGAGACTTTGAGACAAAATGTGATGTCTCATTGACAATCACTTCACTTTGCCTTTGTTTACCTAGCAGTAAGTAGAAACCCAATTGTTAGTCGATTGGCGGATTGCTTTCTGGGGGAAATAATCGCCCCAAAACCAAATTGTCACTCAATCCACGATTGTTTGTATGATGCTGCTGTGTGTAATTGGCTGCCGCCTTTCACCCATAAAATACATAGACAATCCACTTTACAGTATATTCAGCTTTGAGACATCTTAACAACACGATAAGACGCTATATTAAATACAAAGATTATTATTATTATCACAAGCTGCTCTCCTTTTCTCCAGACAAGGCTCCAACAATATTGGTTCTGAATTTCTATAATCAGTTTTATGGAGTAGTTTTTAAGCTTATGTCTCCGGAACATCAGTCCGACCAATTATTTCTGAAGTGCTCATTTTGGGCCCAGCATACTTTCTTGTTTTTGGCAGTGATACAATACAATTTACATTTATATAATGCTTTTCACATCAGGAGGACATTGCAAGTGGCTTTACACATTTGGCTCGGTATCCGAGCTGGAGGAAAGGGGATGATAGCTGAAGTAGTGGAGAGGGGGAAGAAGATAACCAAAAGTGCAGTCAAAGGCATAAGACATGAGGTGGAGTTTGAGAGGGAGGGGGTGAGTTAGAGGACTCCAGGATAGAATTCCAGAGACAGTGGGAAAGATATGGTATATATTTGGATATATTTTGGGAACAATGGTAAATTGATGATAATAATAAGCCTTGCGTTTGATGCAGCGCCTTATCACGTCTTCAAGATATTTCATAGTGCTTCAGTGAATATACTGTAAAGTGAATTGTCTGTATATATTTTATGGGTGAAACGTGGCAGCCAATTGTACACAGCAGTGTCCCACAAACAGTCGTGGATTGAGAGATCAAATTTGGAAAAAATTTTATAGTGAATTGACTATAATTTGTGGGTGAAATTATGTGGGCGTTGATAGCTCGTAATGCGATTGTTGAATGATTTACCAAAAGTTGGAAAGTCAAAAGGTCTCTGCTGATGCTGTTCATAGTGTAGAAGGTGTGACTGGCATAATAACAGTCTTCATTTTATATTTTACAGAAAAAGGTAACACTGAACACTTTCCTGGACACTCTGATGTCTGACCCCCCGCCGCAGTGTTTAGTCTGGGTGCCCCTAATGCATCGTCTAGCAAATGTGGAAAATGGTGAGTATATAATAATAATAATCCTTATTTGGTATAGCATCTTTCACATCAGAGGATATCCCAAAGAATTTTATACATCACTTCACAGGATATACTGTAAAATGCAGTGTCTGTATGTCTTGTGTAATGAGCAAGGTAGGCAGAAGCAGAGGTAGACCAATTGGGCCTTGGAATCTACTCCACTATTTTATTACACAATGGCAGCTCTTCAATATGTTTAATCCTATTGCTCTCCTCTTTTTCTATATCCTTTAATGTACCCTTAACTTCTTAAGTATTTGTCAATAGTTCTAGGTTCTGTATGTGCAGCTACTTTTGTTTATATTGGATCAAGTTTAAATAATCCTTATATCTATAGCACCTTCCATGCAGGAGGATGTCTCAAAGTACTTCACAGGATTTACTATGTCGTGACTGTGCCTAGTTGCACACAACAATATCCACAAACAGCATGAAATGAATCACCAATTTTATTTAGGGGATTGTTGGCTAGGACACCAGGAGAAACTCCCTTCTGTTTTCGAGTAGTAGAATGGGATCTTTAATATTCACCTAAGCAGGCACAGATAGGACCTTGGTTTAACATCACATCTGAAGCAATGTGACTCGGACAATGCAACACTCCCAGAAGACTGCATTAGAGTGTCAATCTTGAATGTGAGCTCAGATCCCAATGTGGGGTTTGACCCCACAACATTCTGACTCGGAGGTGAGAATGTTGGCAACTGAGCTCGGCTGACACCTATAGGGCCTTCCTACCAAGAACCTTTAGTTTTTAAATGGAAAGTGATTCACAGTAATTCTGTTCCCAATTATCTATGCAGGAGATGGAAGAAGGAATTTTACAATATATTTTTCGATAAATGCATTTTGGAGCCAGCCTCATTCTGTTCCCATTTACAACTCCTTTGACACATGTCTTTGGTGAAAGGATTGACATGCAGTTTAAAGAATAACTTGAACGTGTACTACAGGGTGACCAAAAATTTGTGATATCATTACAATGTCTAATAAGTCTTAAAGAAATTATGATGTTTTGCAGATAATAGGATGGCTGAAAAATACAAGTTTTTAGTTACCCTGTATTTCAACACAGAAATGGGCCAAAATTTAAGAGTTCAAACTATTTACTGAGACTGATGTCCTGGAGACGTAAATTTAAATAAAATTCTGGGAAAGCATTCCCCAATTAATTAGCAAAACAAAAATCTAGTTCAGACGAAGAAAACAAACATTCTATAAATGGCAAGTTAATGAATTGGTCTCGATATGAAACAAATGTTTGCAGGGTTGACTGTTCCATGTTCACTGATGTAAAAAGGCTTGAACAATGCATTGCAGCTGGAATTGAGGGCTGCAGCTTGGGTTCAATGACTAAGATATGCCATTGCAGCAGATAATGAGAGCAAGCAAAACAGTTGCCTGGGAAGAAATATTTGAACAAGGCAGGGAAGGAAAGATTCAACACCTGCCTGACCGAATCTCTACATAGTAAAATCAATCTTACTTCAATAGCACAGTTAGCAACATTAAGAAGATTTAGAGCCCGGTGCAATGAAGGAGAACCACTTAAAAAATATTTATCAGATCAGAAATAGATTTCAGGTTAAGAAACAGATGAAAACAGTTCAACACCTGCACGTCCACAGCTGACTCTCAACATAGAAAAAAAAATTACAACAACAGCAACAACTTGGATTTATATAGCGCCCTCCACGCCGGACGGATTCTCAGAGAACTTCACAGTAACGGATCCCAGGGCCGAGCCAGGGGGAGGGGGAGGAAGGTGACCAAAGGCGCGGTCGAAAAGAAAGGTCTTCAGCCGAGACCTGAAAATAGGAAGAGAGGGGGCGAGGCAAAGGGAGTGAGGAAGGGAGTTCCAGAGCCTCGGGGCATAGTGGTTGAAATTACTCCTGTTAAAGAGAGGAAATCCTTAAAGGGTTGAAGTACAGAACGAAAATAAAACATTATATTGAAGAGAGAAATAGAGTCATATATGGCTCTTCCAGGGAATTTTCTACCAGGAATAACCAGCTTAATGAATATTAACATTGGTCTGTGGAGTTATAGTACAAAAGATGTTGGGCTCAAAATTCCATGAGCCTGTAAGACTAAAAAAAATTTAAGATTGTGCAGAATTGTCAAAATGCTTAAAATCAGCCTTTATTTGGAAGCCAATTTTTTGTAATTCCTAAAATAATAATAATAATCCTCGTCTTCAAGACATCTCAAAGTTCTTCACAGAATATACTGTAAAATGAATTGACTGTATATTTTGTGGGTGAAACGCGGCAGCCAATTGCGCAAAGCAGTGTCCCACAAAAGGTCGTGGATTGAGTGACCAATTCATTATTATTATTTTTTGGAAGGAATTATTACTCCCGGAAAAGCAATCCGCCAATCGACTAACAACTGGGTTCCTACTTACTGCTAGGTAAACAGAGGTGTCTGGAGTAAGGAACCTTGCCCAACACTTCGTCCTTCTGGGAATCGAATCGAGTTTTTCCGCTTGTGGGGCGAGTGCTCTAACCACTGAGCTATAGGACTCCATGAACCATCTTCCAAATTAAGACTGAATTTAAGACTTTTTCAACTTTTTCCATTTTGTTGAGCCAAAATCGTAAACCAAAATTTTAGGACAAAATGATCAGACAAACTAAGACTCGATGGAATTTTGGACCACTGAATCTGCATTTGGTTGAGAATCAGTAAACCTTAAGTATGTGTCAGAACTTAATACTTGATCCCTCATGATGGCCGGGGATCTGAAGGGGAACAATTAAATGTGAATCTAAGTCCTGAATTTTTATTGAAGGATTTGTTATGAATTGAAGGCTCAAGACAATGGCATAACATCAAATGGAAAAATCCCATTAAAGAATTAACAAAACCACCCGCTATTTTTAACAATCAGATGACATTAGACCCAGTGAGTTCAAAGATCCTGGAAGAAATTTCCCATCATAAAGAATAAATCTAGTTCACTGTGTGTATATGCCCACATTATTTATAGCTGTTTAGATTACAGTGCAACTTTGTTTTAATACAGTGTTGTGATGCATAAAATCCTACACTATGTTTCGGAAGGCGTGAGAGCAGGTTGGCTGCACATGCATGTAAGTGTGATATGCAGCGAACAGGTCCACATTGCAACCACATTATTAGTGAATATGGACAATAGAGAGAGCCCATTATAGAGAGGCTGCATAGTGTTATGTGTTCACCAAGAATTGCAAACACAAATTGTGATATCTGTAATGTTTCAAGTATGCAGAAATTGCAAAATAAAATTGACTGAAAGGCAGAAGAATGATCCAGGCTGAGTAAGACATAGATAGATGCCTTTGTGTGTTTTTCCATCTACAGTCTTCCACCCTGTTGAGTGTTCGTACTGCCACAGTGAGAGTATGATGGGTTTTCGATATCGCTGCCAGCAGTGTCACAATTATCAGCTCTGTCAGGACTGCTTTTGGAGAGGCCATGCAAGTGGTTCCCATAGCAACCAGCACCAAATGAAAGAATACACGTCATGGGTAAGACCTGAAGCACATGTTCTCTACCATGTTTGTGAAAATGTGATGGGTGAAAGAACAAAAGGTGCTTCTGCATTCACCTTACAATCACTCAATCATTTGTTTAATTTCTGAACAAGAAAGGAAGGTTATTCTGCTCCGTGAAGCAAATTAGTCGCTGCAAGCTAAGTGCTAGTCCAGCTTGATAACTTTAATGAATTTATTGCTTTGTGTTTATAACAAATAATACAAATGAAAAATAAAATTGCACTACAAATGTAACAGTTAATTTACATTTAAAATTGCCTTGCAATTATTTATAAGTGCACAGCTACAAATTTACTAAACGTAATAAAAGGAGCAGAAGAATTCATAATAATCTACTATCCTAATAACAGAATTATTAATATTGGGTTAAAATAATTATAAATAATAATAATAATCCTTGCATTTGATTAGCAGCTTATCACGTCTTTGAGACGTCTCAAAGTGCTTCACAGAACATACACAGAATTGACTGTACATTTTGCAGGTGAAAATAGTGAGGTTCTGTTAAAGAAAGTTCAATTTGGTCAATCTGAGCTCTTTCTCCCATAATACCCACCATCTCACCTTCTCATTGCAACATGAAGCTATTTCTATAACAAGCCCAGTATCCTGGCCTCTGCCACCTTTACCGATAACCCGGTCCAGCTTTCAGCAAACCTCAGTGTAAAGAAATACTTAGTGATGTCTGTTTTAAAATTGCTGTAATACATTGCAGTTGGCTCTTTATTTACACTTTCTTTGAGTTGAGGGAGGAGTGAAGGGTGAAGGGAAATATCAGCTTTGTTTTCCTAGAAATGTATCTGGTTATCCAAGATATCCCTCAAATACATTGGAAACGGTCATTGATGATGCAGATTGCATGCAGAATAAGTAGGTATGATGGGCCAAATGTAACGTACTTTATTTTCCAATGGAAATTTGATTCCCATAGTTTTATGTATCTTTATAGTTTCCTAGTTTTATGTATCTTTAACAAAAAGTGGAGATGGACTGCAACAGCATTTCTCTGGTATTTCTCCTGTGTAATCCTATGGTTCTAAAAAAACATGTGCAATCTCAGGAAGGTTTAAAATAAAATCCATAAAATGGCTGCAGAGCTCAACACAAAATAATTAAATACAAGCAAAAAAATGAAAGCAATATGTTTGACTTTCATAGTCTGTTTATACCAAGGGAAATTTTAATGTCAATCTTGATATGTGTCGATCATTTCCAAACCAACAATATTTACTGTAAAACCATGTTTATAGTGAGCATATGGGAATAGAGATAACAAGAATTTGGCTCATTTGCAAGTATAAACACAGTGAATTTAGAAAGTCAAAATAAGTTGAAAGAAAGCTCTTAAAATATCTGAACTCCAGCCTGCAACTGTTTCTATTTGAATGTTGAAAAGTTTTTCTATCTGACCTTAGTCAACTAACCACTATCTTCTTCACTTATCTCGACTCCTATTCATAGTCCTATTCATTCCTAAACTTAGTGGGTCAGGCAGGCTTTTGCCCCTTCACCTGTTTGTAACTTTAAAACTGTAAGACCTAATGTTAATATAATCTGATGTGAGAAGCAGAAAGTTGAAGTAACTTGAAGTAGCATTACTTGGCGGAGTAACATAAATGTCAGATGCTCACTTCAGAGCCTTGTTTTTTTTTATGGAGAATGTTGATCAATGGCCCAAAGACCAGATTGAAAAGAGAAGCAGTGAGGTTGGTTAGGTGATTCGCAAGCCTAGCATTTAAAAGCCTATAGATTGCATGGGGAATGGAACACTGAAAAGAGTCTTACGATCTTGCGAACAAATAATAATAATCCTTGCATTTAATATAGCGCCTTATCCTGTCATTGAGATGTCTCAAAGCAGTTCACAGAATATTCTGTAAAATGTAGTGACTGTATATTTGTGGGTGAAACCCGTCAGGCAATTGTGTACACCAGTGTCCCACAAACGGTCATGGACGAGTGATTACCTCCGGTTAGCAATCTACCAATCGACTAACGACCAGGTTCCTGCTTATCGTTAGGTAAACAGAGGTGTTGGAGTGAGGAAACTTGCCTAAGGTTTTTGCGCCTGGGAATTGAATGTGGGACCTCTCGCTTGGGAAGCAAGTGCTCTAATCACTAGGCTACAGGTCTCCACAAATGAGTTAGGGTAGGAGGCATTGCAGTGAGTAGGAGGCAGTGCAGTGAATTTTGATTACAACGTAGTGGAAGCAGGACAGAGGATGGTGCGGGATGGTGCATTTGAACCTTGAGAGAAGAGTCAGAAGAATTTAGTATTGATATATGAGAGAGAAATGAAAAAGATTGGAACAGGGAGAGAGAGGAAGAGAGAGATTAAGGAGGCTAAAGGTGAGTTGTGAACTAATCCTGGGGCAGCAATGTGTTCGGTTGATTTTTACTGAGTGACAGCAAAATCATCTCCCCATGGAGATGTGGATAAGCCCTAGAATAAGCATTTTTGGGTGGAGAGCAACAGTTGTTTGGGAGCAGGGAGCTTCAGAGCATGCTGTTTTGTTCTTCTAAATGACTGAAATGCCTTAGAATCGAGAGCCAAGGGGTGAGTGGGAGAGTGGGTAGGGATCGAAAATAATAATAATAATCTTTGCATTTGATATAACACCTTATTACGTCATCGAGATGTCCCAAAGCGCTTTACAGAATATACTACCATGTGTGTTTTTTCTGGACAAGTGCAGCAGCCAATTGTGCACAGCAGTCCGACATGAATCAAATTGAAATTGAAAACTAGGAGGGCAGGCACTGTGTGAAATGTTTTTATAGTTTTATAGTTATATGTTCTATATTGCTGTTTTAATATTCCAATGATTTACCTTTCCATGTTATTTTGTCATCTTTGTTCCCAGAAATCACCTGCAAAGAAGCTAACTAATGCTCTTAGCAAGTCCTTAAGCTGTGCATCCAGCCGTGAGCCTTTGCACCCAATGTTCCCCGATCAGCCTGAAAAACCAATCAACCTGGCACACATTGTGTAAGTATATTTTAAGCTTTTAAGCTTTTAGGAAGAGTGAATTTTCCCTGGTCTCCTGTATACTTTTACAATTATGCTTTTAGGACCTTAAGTGTGTTTCACTATAGATGGTCTCTTTTCTCCAGATGTACTCTTTTAAAAAAAAAGCAAGCCTTGGAAAATTGCCAAATTTGATGCCAAAATAATCTCTCTGCCTTACTTACACACCTCTCTGTTGTGTTGAAAACAAATGCCTGTGTATCTAGTAAAGCACCAACCCGGTTTCTGATCCTGTGTCCACTTGTCACTCATGAGATCATTAATAGTCCATTATCTTTATTCTGAAGGCTGCTAAAGCTTCTGAATGTCATGGAGTACCCTGACTGTCTTTGTAGAGATATTGAAAATAACCCTTACCTATTCAGTTCATAAAACTGTATCAAAAGTGTGAGTTTCAAAAGCTTTGAGATGAAGGCTTTGAATGTTAATGATCTGGAGCGAAATTGGTGTAAAAATGAGAAAAATGCATACGTTCAGGTTAAATAATGGGTTAGATTTGTTTTTGTAGTCACTATATTTTGGAAAGTTTTGATTGTAACACATCAAATATATATGCATTTAACTGATCATGGTCCTCCTCCTAATTCAGCATTACCTACAATACAAAATTACATTTGTAAAATGCCTTTCACGTCGGGAGGACATCCCCAGGCGCTGAACAGTCAGGGATTAGGACCCAAACGGTGGGAGGATGGCAGGGAGGATGGCGGGTGGGGGTAGGAGGGTGGACGAAGGCACAGTCGAAGATGAAGGTATTGAGGTGTGCCTTGAAGGAGGCAGGGAGGAGCAAGGCAAAGGGAATGTTGGATGGAGTTCCAGAGGGCGGGGGCAGAGAGGTTGAAGGTCCAACCACCGGGGCAGGCCGGGCGGGGACATGGAGCAGGCCGGAACCTGCTAAGCGAGGGAGTGGACAGGTTAATAAGAGATTAGCAGGTCAGAGACGTAGGAGGGGGCAAAGCCATGGAGGGCCTTGAAGGTGAGGACGAGAATTTTTAATTCGATCCTCTGAGGGATGGGGAACCAGTGGAACTGGGTGATGGTGGGTGTGATGGGATCACTAGCCTGGTGCGGGAGAGGACATGATGCTACAATCCATTGTAACAGGGATTGTTGTGAAGACTAGCCCGAGAGCTCAAAGTTGTCCTCCTTATTTTGCACTCTGCAGCTCCAGACCTCTTAACTGAGCTGGGCAACCAGCATGTGAATTTCCATGTGTAGGTGGGATGCATGGAACTCTCAGTTTGGTTTGGATACACTTAAACAAAGTGATGGGTTTTCACACATGTCAGACATTCAGCTAAGCAAAAGAAAATGTGAACCAGAGATGTACAAATAGATAACTACTTTGATAAAATATAAATAATAGCTTGCCTGCTATTGATCAATTTTTGCTAAAATTGGGCACATGAATTTGTGCATCCTTGAAAGGTGAATCTCTCAAATTAAAGTTCACATGTGTTTAACCTTAGATTTTCTTTAAAGGTCACAAAGAGCACCCCATCTGTGTTTGTACAAATTCCTGCACATGTCCAGTGATTTTTTTTTAGATTTCTTAAAAAACGTGCATCAAATGTTTGCCAGTGACAGAAATGTTTGGATTTGGGTCATTCCAGACAACCCTTAATACTTGTGCCAGCTCATACTGAAATTGGAGTATGATCAGGTTTTCACCCTTACCAGTAGTATCTTTTGAAGTTATCTGCTGAGACAGAATTAGACAGCTGTAAAAACAAGGAGTCGTGTTGGTGCTAGTCTCTATTATGGTGATCGGCTTGGAGGTGAATGTAAATATTCATAGAAAAACGCACATCGACTGACGAGATAATGCTGGTAAGATAACAGTGGTGTTTTGCCCAAACTAAATGAGATTAATTTGTCTGAGACAACACTGGCTAGAGTCACCAGTAAGATCCTGCATGACTCTGATCGGTGGCTCAGGATCCTCGCCACATCCTCTTCAACTTCTATTCTGCCTTCAACACTACAGATCAGCCATGATCGTATTGAATGGCAGAACAGTCTTGAGGGGCTGAATGGCCTATTCCTGTTTTGATGTTTCTATGCACCACCGCTCCCCCATTCTCCTGCATCACCACCTCCCCTGCTGTTTGTTTCTTAAAACAATGCTATTTTATGTTATTTGAGAGGAGTCAATTGATAACACACAAAATTGGCATAAAACAATGCATTTTAATTGGGTGTATATATGTATTTAACCCAGATATATTCAAGAGAGGAAAATTAATCCACTTACAGTGCTTATTTATTATTCTGGACTTCCTACTCATGCTATAAAAGGGCTGCTTGAGGCCCTGATTTACTAATCTTTAATCTACTAATTTACTAATATTCTTCAAAGTTATGCCTTCATCTGTTTACTAAGGTTTCTATTAGAATTCTACAGGAAGAGTTGCGATGGTGCACTGTTAAGGCTTCAATGACTCCCTTCAAAAGTCCTAAACCCTCAAATTTATCCGTAATCCCCTCCTCCCCCCTCTTACTCCACACACATACACACTTCCAGAACTCTGTGTAAATTTTCGTAAAACAATCTCAAAAAGCAAGTTTATCTTTGGATGTTTATGGTTTATTCATGCTGTTTTCCATAGTTAATTATCATGTTGTTTTCTTACAATGTGCTTTTCCCTTTATTGCTGCACAGAAATGACTTTGGGTAAGCATTGCTTTCGGTGTTTTATTTTCTGTACAAATGTTGCGAAACATTGATCAAAAATAATCAGGATTATTGTAGATTAAATAAGTAACTAACTGCTAACGAAACTAAACTTTAAATAGTTAAACTTATTACATACCATCAAGCCATTTGCAAGCACATAGAGTAGTTATTGAAGTTTCAGTCACTGCTGCAAATCAATTAAGGTGAAAAGTGAAAGCTACAATATACAATAACAGTGAGAAGCTTGGGATATAATACTCGCTGGTTTCACTGAACATGCTCGGAGCCAGCTGGCTCACTCCCGACATCCTGGCTGGTTCCTACGCGAAAAAAAAGACTGACTTCAGGTCATCAGGTCACTGTCAGCATCACATCCTGTTTCTTGCACACGTACAAATTGATGTCAATGGTGACATCATGGTTTTGCCATTTTAAGCACAGGAAGCTAAAATGGCTGACTTCCAGCTCCTCAGATCCCTGCTAACATAGGAAACAATGTCTAATCCTGTTATAGCGCCTGCAGTATACAGCTGTCTCACTCTGAGCACTGGTGTCCTGTCGACCTGCACTAACTGGAATAGTACACCCAGCCACCCAGCTTCCGACACTGACTAGACAGCTTCTATGCAAGAAACTGGCTGACTTCTGGTTGCCACCATTTTTTAAACCTTTAATAATAATCCTTGCATTTGATATAGCGACATTATCAAGTCATCGAAACATCTTTAAATCATTCAAAGGATTTATAATAATAATAATCCTTGCATTTGATATAGCGCTTTTCACACCTTCTCAACGTCGCAAAGCGCTTCACAGAATAGACTGTAAAGTGAATTGATTGTATGTTTGTGGGCGAAATGTGGCAGCCGATTGTACACATCAGTGTCCCACAAACAGTCGTGGATTGAAAATGACCAATTTATTATTGTTTTGTTTTGGAGGGATCATTATTAGGAGTGTGGAGTAAGGAAACTTGCCCAAGGTTTCACCCCGTCTGGAATTGAACCCAGGTTTCTCGCTTGCAAGGCGAGTGCTCTTGCATTTGATATAGCGCTTTTTCACATCTTCTAGACGTCTCAAAGCGCTTCACAGAAGAGACTGTATATTTGTGGGCGAAATGCGGCAGCCAATTGCGCACAGCATTGTCCCACAAACAGTTGTGGATTGAAGTGACCAATTTTTTTAATTATTTTTTTCTTGAGGGATAATTATCAGGCTTGTGGAGTAGGGAAACTTGCCCAAAGTTTCACCCTGCCAGGAATTGAACACAGGTCCCAGCTACAGGACTCCACATTTATGGCAATTAGGGGAACACAGCAACCAGTTTGCATGCACCAGTGTCTCACATAGAGCCAGGAGGTGCAAAGCCATTTAATATCTGGAAGATAGTTGGCCAGGACACCAGGAGAGAATTCACTTTTTGTATTGCATCACGTGATCTATAACTGTCTGAACAGGCGGGCAGGACCTCCGTTTAACATTTCATCTGAAGGACAACACCTCTGACAATGCCGTACACTCCAGAACTGCATTGGCATGTCAGCAGTGTAAACTATGTGACCCCGATGTGGGGACTGAACCCACAGTTTTCTGACTCAGAGAGTGCTACCAACTGAGCCAGGCTGATATCATGCAGGAAACATGACTGATACCAGTTCTTATGTGCTGCACGTGTCACTTTGAGCAGGAAGTGCCACTGATGTTACTTTGTGAAGGATCTGACATCAGTGTCATAGGTGCAACGCATAGGAAGTGACATCAGTGGTGCCCTGACAAACCAGGAGTCAGCCATCTCTTGAGCTTTGCTTAGAACACAGCCTCTGAGCTATTGGATCTACAGAACCACATTATAATGACGTTCCCTTGTAATGTGTCAGAACCTTAATAACATTGGTTACAAAACGTGGAACAAGACACAGAAAAACAAGGCTCTCTAAAAAGCTTGAAAGCCCAAACTCAACACTTCTGATCACTCTGTCTTGCTACCTCTTGTGTCTTTAAGCCCAACATCAAATCCTACTTCTTTCAACATGGCTGTCTACCCTTCCCCTTTCCCTTGCTCAGTGTCTAACCCTGTCCCTGAAAAGCACTCTGAGAAATTACCCTCCATGAATGATAAATGCCAGTTTTTGTTGTTGTAATTGTTAGAGAAGTGAAACCTAAACGTACCATTGGAGTAAATAGAGATTTGATTGATAAAGCATTACAGAAAGTTATCAGTATGCATAGCTCCAAACTGAAAATGTTTAATTTTATGTGGGGAGTAGACATGCGTTAAACACTATGTCATTTTTAAAATTTTTGTTTTTCATTTAAAAAGGAAGATTGTTGGATAGATTTGTCGCTCGGTCACTTTAAGATCTATTCATAATCCTGAGGACATTGGAATAGCATCTCATTTGCACAGAAAGCAAGGCCAGCCGAGTCTTTGCTTTCCCACTTATATTCAGACAGAACCAAAGCGAATCAGTAGTCACTACGTCATCATGCTCACTGCTTCACTTATAATGATTCGGCAATCTCTTTTTTTTAAAAAACACAATAGTTTCCATTGCTTATGGTTTGGATGTCAGTGCCATTCTGCATTCTCCTCACACCTTTTGCATCCATTTTGTGATTGAGAAAATGGTTTGCCCTTTACCTGCCTGTCCACTAGATGGGGTGTTACACCATACGAAAGCAGTTCGTCAAACTCACTGGCCTGCTTTTTGACACTAGCCATGTTTAGACCAATGTATGCATCAGTGAAAATTGGTAGCCTTTGATCCTTGTGATCTCATCTGCCACAAGGGAGAACATTGGAATTGAAATATACAATGAAAGAAGAGAAATAGATGAGGATTTTGAACTCTATCCTCTGGGGGATGGAGAGCCAGTGGAGCCAGGTGAGGATGGTAGACCAGTCATTGTGGACAGTAATTCTAATCACTCAGCTCATTTTAACCCTGAAATACCTAAAGAGTGATCCTAGCTGGAAAAAGTAGTGGGAAGCTTGCCAGAGAGTGCTCTCACTGGCAGGTTTAACTGGTTAAACTCCAGCAGTACCCCAATACACAGTCTTGGGTCCTCAAGCCTTGGCCCTTGACAACATGTGCCTAATACTCCGGAACAACAACAACAAATTTACATCTATAGAGCACCTTTCACGTCGGGAGGACAGCACTGGGGAAGGAGTGTACATTCCCTAACAGACATAGGAATTTAAATGAATAGGTGGGATGTATGGAACTCAGTCTGGTTTGGAAACTTTTAAGCATGGTGATCGGTTTCCACATGTGTCAGATGCTGGCTGACCCAAAAAAATTGAAGCCAGACTCATTTAAAAAGCAAAAACAGAAAGAGCTGGAAAACACAGCAGGTCAGGCAGCATCCATGGAGAAAGGAAAGTGAGTTAACATTTCGGGTCCACGACTCTTCGTCAGAACTGGGGCATGTTGGGAGGGAGAGGTTTTTAAGGACAAGTTGAGGGTGGGGGGAGGCAGGACAAGGACGACAAAGAAGACAAAAAAGACAAAGGTGTGTTGCCTGTTCTGCACCATTAACACCGCTTCTCCCTAGTTTTGTTTCAACCCACCCCCCCTTTTGTTGTATAACCCCCCTTTTGTTTTACGCCACTATCATCTCTTTAACCCATCAACTAACACATTCTCTCCTTTGTCTTCTTTTTTGTCTTCTTTTTCGTCCTTGTCCTGCCTCTCCCTCTCAACTTGTCCTTAAAAACCTCTCCCTCCCAACATGCCCCAGTTCTGACAAAGGGTCGTGGACCTGAAACGTTGACTCACTTTCCTTTCTCCATAGATCCTGCCTGACCTGTTGAGTTTTCCAGCTCTTTCTGTTTTTGTTTCAGATTCTAGCATTTGCAGTATTTTGTGTTTTGTTCATTTAAAAAGCAGCTTGCTGCTGTGATGGGTGTGACGGTAAGGTGTGATCAGAAGGGCCATCTTCATCCAAACCAATCTTGTGAATGCTCAATAACTGTCCTCTGTGTAGAACATGATATCCTTGCTTCCAACAGAACACAATTCTGACCTCTAAACATTATAATATTCCTGTATTTTAAACTATTTCCATCAATAATGCTTTAATATGCACTAACGCCATATCTTTAACTCTGGATTAAATGGAATTATTAACGCCCCTGTTCCATTGATTTAGGACAGCCGCCCTCCATTCAGTTAATTTTCACAAATTTATTCTTTACAAAACAGCTTTCTGTATTCTCTAATCATTTCTATTATTCATGTGTGTTAACTAGATAAGTGGATGTTTCGATATAGTTCTGCGATTTTAAACAAAGATAGACAGATTTCCTCCTTAGCAGCGGGTTTTTTTATTTTATTAATGGTATCTCTTGCATCTTCAAAGTAAACATTAGGTTAAGGAATACTTCCATTAAATTGACAGCAATGAAAAGGTAATAGCACCTCTTTGCGATACTCCAAAGACTGTCATTTCTTCTTTTAAACCATAAGTTTTTTAAGTCAAATTAGTTAAAAATGTTTCACACAACAAAACTCTGTTTAACATTTAACAGTTTCAAAGCATATAACCCTTCAGCCGGCTCCAAGTGCAATAAACACCCTCCCCTTTCAGAGTGATGTTGATCAGCACAATATCTTTATGCAAAGGGGGGTTTTGCCAAGCTTTGAAAAGATTAAACTAAAAGAATTGAAATTGTAACTGGAATACTGCATTTCTGGTTTATTTAAAGTGTTTAAGTAATTGTTCTTTTTGATCATTTATTGTGTCCATTTTTTTTCATTTATCCCCCACCCACTGGCATATGTCTCTGCACCTGGTCCCTAGCCTCCTCTTGCTGGGTATGGTTCCACGGATGCTGGTTGCCTCCAGGAAACCAAGTCAAGAGACCGTTGTTCATGTGTGAGGCCACTCAACTGTAGATGGTGTCACAGAGAGCCTAACCTCTCCTCACCTGACTGCCACACATGCACACAATCAAAAGAGGAGTGTTGAAGAGGGATGAGGAGCAGCAACCTGGCTGGCTGGGGTTCCCCTTCCTTGTGCTTTACTAAATGGTGTTTAGATATAGATTTTTTTTCAAAATCTGCATTTAGGTAAATTAACATTATTGTCAATAATGTGCACTATTTCTATAAAAGGTTTATTATTTGAATTGGAATTGTACTAGTTGGTTAGTACATCTGCACAATCCTAGTTGCAGTAATTATGAATTTAAAGCAGAATTTACAAACAATCATGTCCAAATTTATAGAAGTGTTTGCTCTGGGCCAACTACTACAAATGAAGGCAACAAAAAGGCAGGAGCATTTATTTTAGCAAAAGTGTGGGAGGCACATGGAACAAGCTACCAATACAGAGGGAAATAGAGAACTATAAAGGCTTTTTAAAAAGGGACTGGATTAGAGATTTGCAGCAACTGGGTAAGCTTAGTTACATGATATAACCTTTAATGTTTTGTGTAGAATAAATTTGCCTTCATAATTTATCTAAGAAAAGATTGTGTTGTACAATATAGTGCCACTGAAGAGATATATATTGGAGTCCTGTAGCTCAGTGGTTAGAGCACTCGCTTTGCAAGCGAGAGACCTGAGTTCAATTCCAAGCAGAGGGCGAAACCTTGGGCAAGCTTCCTTACTCCACACGCCCAATAATAATCCCTCCAAAACAAAAAACAATAATAAATTGGTCATTTTCAATCTACGACTGTTTGTGGGACATTGCTGTGCGCAATTGGCTGCCGCGTTCGCCCACAAATATACAGTCAATTCACTTTACAGTGTGTTCTGTGAAGCGCTTTGGGACGTCCTCCCGACGTGAAAAGCGCTATATCAAATGCAAGGATTATTATTATATATTTGCAAATACATTAATAAAATACATTTATTTTAATGAAACACACTTTTAAGCTTTAATTTCCATGTCTTCTTAGACCTCCAAGATCCTCTCCAAATATGAATGACACCATGTTCTCCCATTCAGTAATAACCTCAGGAAGCCCCAGTCCTAACAAGGGGTAAGTGAATCTCTTGAATGCATGTTTTGAGAAGCAGCGATTAAGCAAAACAACTTCATAAATGTTTTATTTAAAGGCATAACGAATAAAACAATATATTTTGTGCTCAATTTTGAATACAGTAAGAACGCCCAAGTATAACTATTTAAAATACACAACTTGTTCTGCTTACTAAAAATGCTACATTTTAGATTTACATGTTACAAGTGGATTTACATTCACGCAAAATCAATGTGAAGTTTCACAAAAAGTAGTCCATTGTTGCAGCTGCAGCTTAAACTGATTAGACTCACTATTTGTGGTTGAATTTAGAATTTTTGTAAAATATTTGCAGGAGTTGCAGACATCTTCCAAACAAACAAATACAGGGCCAATATCTCAGAATTTATGTTAAAAAGACGCACAAAAAATGGTTGACGTTTGGGTCGTTGCTGATGTCGCTTCTTGCATGTTTGTGAGAGAAGTAGCACCATTTCTTGTACGTAGAATGTTTAGTGGTGGTTATAATGGAGCAACCCTGAATACAATATAAAATACATATCATATGTTTCCAAGCTTAACTTTGAACAACAAAAGGATATGTAACATTGAGCCTATTTTTATGGAAAAACGGGTTAAATGTTCCTGTGTTTTCTTCAAACCTCTAGCTATTTACTGATTGATTTGTATTACTCGTTGATTAAGCCATGGCAGCTATAAGGTTCCGGTTCCCAATTACTTTTAGCCATGACAAATTAAGAGATGTCTCAAGTAGGAGTATATTCTCAAAATATGATGTTGCACAGTTGTATGTAGACAAAAGTATTCCAAAATAAGCAAGCTTTTCATTCTTGATGTAAAATGTATATGTCTTTATTCATATCTCAAAGGCCACATCACTTTCTGCCAGGGGATGGTGAGAGGCAGAGACACTTTTATAGAATTACTCCCTACTCTTGTTCTATTTGAGATATCTTCCTGATGTGAAAGGAACTATATCAATGCATATTGTATTGCGATATAAAGGTTAGTTTTGCACATCTATAAATTTCTAAGTACATACAACCGAGGGATGGACATATTTGCAACATGTTAGCAAAAAAATGACACATGCAATGTGCTGCCCTTTTCAAATATGAGAGATATAAATCAATTACCTTTCTTGCTTATTTAATGTTCTACATTTTAACCTCATTGATTACTGCACTACCTTTGCCGATGACTCTAAGGCTGTTAAAAGAATGATTCTTGTAAGACTGACCATGAATGTTTACATTAAATAATTAACAGCATTTAAAAAGAATTAGATAAATATTTGAGAAACCATATAATTTTAGGTTATGGGAGAGCAAGCAACTGCATAGATACGATGGACCGAATAGCTTCCTTCTGTACTGTAAACCTTCTATTGTTCTATATCAAAATCTATTAACCCCACAGAAACTGAAACATTTAGAGTTGCACATCAAAACATCAGCATACTTCTGAACGTGTGCCTTGTTCATATCTATGACATTTACACCCGACTTCATGATTCACATGCTGTCAGGGTGGACAAGTCAATGGTGGTTGAAGAGGAACATGAGACTGGGAATAAAACTGGTGCATGCGAGTAATGGATAGGTGAATGGTCATTCTCTTCCTCTCACTGCAGTTACAGTTATTCCGTGCCTGTGTCCTGTCTTCATTGCCCTAACTGTTACCATAATATTAGTCAACACAAACAGCAAATCCTTTATTAAAATGAAAATGCATACTTGAATATTCCAAATTTGTTTTAAAGCGCTCCGAGATGCTGCCCCGCGTGAAGGGCGCAAAATAAATGCAAGTAGGTGTTGTTATTTATTGGTTGTTGCTTCCATTGTGTGCAGAATAATACTTAGTGTAGTATGTGCTGCATTTAGTGTGATTGAAAATGGTTTGTAATTGGGTTGCTGAGCTGGCTATGAGCCTTTAAATAATGGGCCTTTAACTAATAACCATTGAATGCCCAGCTTCATTAGAACATTTCTGATTGTAGTAAAAAAATACCCAGACGAATATATCCATGAATTGTTTAATTTTATAGGCAGAAAATTATTTTTTGCCTATCGCTTGATATCCAGTTTAATATTTTCTTCTTTGGCTAATAAAAGCTTTGGGGGCAAAATAAAACCCACAGAGCGAAAAGGAAAAGCAGGTTAAGAATTACTGCGAGATCCTTTGAATTGCACAAATGCGCATGCTGTGGAACGATTCAGCCATGCGCACTAACACCATCAATCACATCCTGCATTGGCAATGTTTAAACTGATTTTACCTACTTATATAACCACACACTCGGTCACATCTCAGCCATGGTGAGCAAGACCCACAAGCAACCGAAATATAGAGACCGGGCTCCAGAATTTGAGAGGAATCTGTTTAAGACATTTTTTATTGCATGTCACATTGTTATTTTCAACCAGATCTATATTTGTGAGATGGGATATGTCATTGCAGTTCTGCTCTTGATTAAAGGTCACACTTTCTTGTCGGACTCATTTTGTACAGTTTGCTGTTTGCTTACATCCAGCATCATGGCTGTTAATACTTGTTCTGGCTGAAGCTATTTGAAATTTTTTGTGCTAGCTTCAGTCAGTACAATTAATCAGTTAAAGGCAACGTATAATTTTATACACATAATCCAAAGCACCTGATAATAAATAACGCCTATCCTAATTTAGTGTTCCAGGAGAATTTCAGAGTTTTATCTTTATTTATATAAACTTGTCTAATCTTCTCATTTCCTACAGACACATTCCACCACATTATTGATTGATGTTTACAGAAGAGCCCCATGTATGACACCTTAGAGACCTGGTTGCTGCTGTAAAACTCCCATCTGCTTTTTAAGGAATACTGTACTTTGTGTAATTACATGAACAATTTCTACAGCTTTGGTTTCCAAACCACGCAAAGTGAGACCAAAGGTAGAGAACAGTGGGGCAAACTGATAGATGCCCTTCAGCCATAATGCAGCTATTTTTTAAAGATGAAAGCTATGTTGATTAGTGAAAAGACAAATTAGCAAAGACTTAGAGTACAAGTAATCATCTTTACATACTGCAGTGTTTCACGGCTTCCCCCAGTACTGTTTCTAGCAAGCTCTTCTATCTCAAATTCATTCCTTTGTCTGAAAGCAACAATAATTTACATTTATATAGCTCTTTTCACATAAGGAGGACATCTCAAAGCACTTCAAATAATTGACTAGGAGCTCACGTGAGGGAGAAAGCTGATGGGAGGGGAAGATGAAACAAAGCAGTTGAAAAGATAGGTCTCAAGGTGGGATTTTGGAGGTGGTGGGGATGGGGGCAAGAAGGAGGGACCTGGGATGGCGTCCCCTGAAGCACCAATGGTGAATAAAAGTTTTTTAACGCGCAGTACAAGGCAATGTCTGAATTCGAGGGCTGGGGGCAATTCAGGTAACATCAAAAAGGTAGGGTGGGCGCAGTATTTACGACAGAATCCGAAAGGGATCCAGAAATATCAAATCCTGCTGGTAGCCAAATGTGTGTATGGCTGACCTGCGGGAACTCTGCTCTGACATGCTTTCCTTCTGGGCAAATCAGAGTGTGACGCACAGTTATCAGTGGGATTCAATATTTACATAACATTTACCATATGTCACTTTTACACCCAAAGTGCAAGAATGACAGTCCAGCAGTGTTGGTCATCTGAACCCTGAAGTTCATGACTACTTTGTAATTCACTTGTGGATGTGCAATGTCATTTCTAACTGTGATTGGTTTGGTTTTACATTTATTTTACATTTGTTTTAAAAATGTAAATGAATTAAATTAATTATAAAACGGCATTTCTGGTTGCAATACCCTCAGATTTCCATGTTCTAAGCCATATTTTAGGAACTGTAAAGATATCAAATAGTGGTGCGTTTACTAGGTTAAAGGCACCAAGGTGCACTGCCATAGATTTCTTTCTATGTTGGGTCAACATCCATTGGCAACACATACAATACAATTTACTTTTATTTTGCACCTATCACATAGGGAGGGCATGTGAAAGTGTTTCAATGAGTATTCGAGCTGGGGATGGGAGCCAACAAGCTGCGGAGCGGAAAGATGACAGAAAGCGCAATCAAAGAGATGCGATTTGAGACATGGTTTCAACGAGCGAGCGAATCAGAGAGGCTGCAGGATCGAGTTGCAAAGGGGGCTGAATCACTGAAAGCCTGCCTGCCGATGGTGGGGTAGTTAAGACAGTGTATGTGATGCAGGCCGGTGATCACTTAAAAGGAACGGAGTGACCAGTCGTGCCCATATTCTGAAAATAGATTGTAGCAAGTCACAGAGACGGGGTGAGACCGTGGAGCAACATGGACGTATTAGGGCCTACAGGCCAAAAATGTCCTGCAAACTTCTCCTTTGTGTATCAGCTTGCTCAGTGATAGCCTCTGAGTTAGGATTTGAACTCACACAGTGATACTCCAAAGCAGTGCTGCGGGTATGTTTCTTTGTTGGAGGTGCCGTCTCTTCAGTTGAGACTTTAAACTGAGGTCCCAACTGCCTGTTCAGGTGGATATTAAACATCTCATTGTACTATTCGAAAAGAGAAGGGAGTTTCTCCTGATGTCCTGGCCAATAAATCTCCTAAAGAAAATTAATCACTCACTCCATTGATGCTAAGCAGGCAATCGTGGATCACACATGTTTAATTGTTTTATTGTATGTTGGGAAATCAGTGATTTTTCCTTAATATTTCCCATGTTCCATGTATATTTGTGTTCTGTGAACAAAATCATTTATGAATACAACAACAACAACAACTTGGATTTATATAGCGTCCTCCACACCGGACGGCGTCTCAGAGCGCTTCACAGTAACGGATCCCGGGGCCGAGCCAGGGGGAGGGGGAGGAAGGTGACTAAAGGCGCGGTCGAAAAGAAAGGTCTTCAGCCGAGACCTGAAAATAGGAAGAGAGGGGGCGAGGCGAAGGGAGGGAGCAAGGGAGTTCCAGAGCCTCGGGGCATAGTGGCTGAA